GGTGAAAACATAGGTGGCATTTTTCAGTTAATGCCTTATTATTCTAAAAAAAAAAAAGCAACACAATTTGAGAAGTCTTTAGCCCATCGCACTCACAATCTTTCTTTACTCCATGGCTCATACCCAGAACAGAAGCAAAGAGGATGCTCCTAGGATAACTATCTAGAACCCAATCATTTCTAGGATCTATGTGTTTATGCACAGTTGGACCAGAATATTAGCCAGTCATATAGTAAATTAGTGAGCTGAAAATTGGCAAAAGGCTGGGTGTGGTGGTGTGCACCTCTAATCCAACACCCTAGAGACAGAAGTAGATAGATCTATGTGAGTTCAAGGTTAGGCCAGCCTGGTCTACATAGTGAGTTCAAGAACAATCATGATGGACTCTGTTGGAAGGAAAAAAGGGAGGGAGGGAGGGAGAAAGGGAGGAACTTGGCTAAGTGTAGTGTTATTGTAAGTGGTACTGAGTATATGTGAAGAACCATTATATTAATGTCTCCTTACTTATGTATATGCTTAAAATTTTTTTATAATAAAAGTTAGCACTCGGGAGGCAGAGGCAGGCGGATCTCTGTGGGTTCGAGGCCAGCCTGGTCTACAAAAGCTAGTGCCGGGACAGGCTCCAAAGCTACAGAGAAACCCTGTCTAAAATAAATAAATAAATAAATAAATAAATAAATAAATAAATAAATGTGAAAAAAAGTCCAAAAAACAAGTTCTGGGGTCCCCTATCATCATTAACTACACTGTGCCTGAGGAATTCAGGAATACTCCATACAGTTACCTTTAACCAACCTTAAAACACAAGGTACAGTTAGGTGGTGGTGGCACACGTCTTTAATCCCAGCACTTGAGAGGCAAAGGCAGGTGAATCTTTGAGTTGGAGGCTAGCCTGGTCTACAGAGTGAATTCCAGGATAGCCAGGGCTACACAGAGAAACCCTGTCTCAAAAAACAAACAAACATAAAAACACAAGTTGCATGCCTGCATGTGAGGCATTTGCACAGAAGCACCTCACCTGAATTCTTTCCAAACCATGTGTGTGTTGGAGGGTGTCTGCACTGGAGGGCAGGTGCTTGTGGGGGTCAGAAGAAGGCATCAGATTCCCTGGAGCTAGAGTTACAGGCTGCTGTGAGTCAACCAATACAGATGCTAGGAGTGGAACTCAGGTCCTCCACAAGAGGGGGTAGGGCTTTATAACCCCTCAGCCATCTCTCCAGAGCCTGAACAAGGTGCACTAGGAATTAGCCATGTTTATAAAAGCCACACATAAAAAGTCAAGTGATCCATTACAGAAGCAGAAGAGAAAATGCTTCTATAGTTCTTACACCTACTTACCACCAGAAAGCAAAACTAATCTGGGAGGGAAAGCAGGTTAGGAACTGAACGATGCTAGGCAAGTGTTCTACCAACCAGCTGTACTCCAGTTCCTTCCCACCCCCACCCCTGGAGCTGAGGATTGACCCTATGGCCAGCAAGCATTCTACCTGCCACTGAGCTAAGTCCCAACCCCTTGTTGATTTGTTAAGACTTCTTTTCTTCCCTCAGGAAGCAGAGGCAAGCAGATCTCTACAAGTTTAAGCTAGTCTACACAGCAGGTTCCAGGCCTGCCAGGGTTACATAGTAGGACCCTGCCTAAAATAAACAAAAAGATGTGTGTGTGTGTGTGTGTGTATACACACGTTAATCTATGCTATGTGTATGTCCAGGTACAACAGAGGTCAGAACAGGATTATCAGATCTCTTGGCACTGGAGTTACAGGTGCTGGGAACTGAACTCAGGTATTTTGGAAGAACATAAAGAGCTCTTAACCATGAGCTATCTCTCCAGCCCAGCTTTCGTGTTTTTTTTTTTTTAAATTTTATTTATTTATTTATTTATTTATTTATTTATTTATTTATTTATTATGTATACAATATTCTGTCTGTGTGTATGCCTGCTGGCCAGAAGAGGGCACCAGACCTCATTACAGATGGTTGTGAGCCACCATGTGGTTGCTGGGAATTGAACTCAGGACCTTTGGAAGAGCAGGCAATGCTCTTAACCTCTGAGCCATCTCTCCAGCCCAGCTTTCGGTTTTTTGAGATCACCTTGGCTTCTGACTCAAGATCTTCTTCCCTCAATATCCCATATGCCAAAATCACTGTTCTGGCTCCAAAATCACTCCTGATGTTTCTTCTGTTGTGGGTTTTGCCTGAGACAGGATCTAATGTCGCCCAAGCTGTCTTTGAACTTGCTATGTATCTAAAGTTGGCCCTGAACTCCTGGTCCTCCTGCCTCTCACCATGTTGGGATTACAGGCAAGATGCATGGCTCAAAATTACTCCTTTACATATCAAAACCAAATCCTGTATTTTATTAAAAACAACCCATCCCTCTTATATCTAATGCTGCCAAACAAAGGCTTCCCAAGATTCATTTTTATTAGTCTCTGCAAAGGCAAAAATAATTTTAGTCAACCCTCTAGGCAGTCCTTACTCTGGGAACAGACATCCTACTGCTCATGAATATAATTCAAAACTGCATCTGAGTCACGCTCCAGCATAAATCCAAGAACCTTATGGAACCTTGGGAAGTAAGTTTTTCATTATAAACCAAATATGGCACCCTTTTCTGACTTACCTAGCCTGGGTGTTATGTAATTAGCAACAGAAAACAGATGGAAACACACACCTAGACTGCATGGCAGTGCACAGCAACCCTTTCTGTGCCTCTGCTCACACCCATGCCTAGCATTCTACCTGTACCTCTCACTCACTGGATTAAAGCGAGCTGACCACAGGAACACTTAAATACCACCACAGTGTCCCTCCGGGCAGCTGGTAAACTGTCTACCCACAACAGTGACTGGATCAATACTAGAGACTTACTGTATTAAAATTATAAATTTCCTAGGACAAATGAATGTTCAAAGGTTTGAAATCAAATGTTCCACTTAGTCAGTAGCTCTGGGACTAACATAAACACCATTTTTCTTTGCTAAAATTAGTACTAAGTCACTTAGAGTGCGTGTAAATCAGGTAGTCACAGCAGCACCCTTCTAAAAGAGTGGAGCCACCTTGTATGAGTCATTTTGCTCTACTCCACATATTCATGCCAAGCTAAGGGTGTCACATCCTCAGAGCCAACACCAGCTTCCCATAAAAAAAGAAACTGTCTCATAACAAACTGCCATGTGGAAGAAAGAAAAGAGGTCAGGCTGTAAAATATATGATCACATGAAATCAACAGAAGAGAGGGGCAGTCTGCACATGTGTGGTACAGACACAAGCTTCAGAACTTATAAAAAGCTAGGGTAAATACAGCAAATCAACACAGGTTTGATGAAGAATAATCTTTTTTCTTTGAGTTCCCTGTGTCTTCCTTTGGGTAAGAAAGAAAGGTAAAGAAGCCAGAAAACAACAAATAGAATCTTAGAAGAGCCCCCCCCCATCCTACCCAAGGTGTTCTGTTTAGGTTTTTGTTTTACAATAAAGAGAGATCATGCTGTCATTTCTAGAGTATTATTTAGAAAAAGGAAAAAAATATAGAAATTTAACACAGATCAAACAAGCTTATAACTTAAAGAGCTAAAGGTTATGATCAATAAGGTTCAAAACTGCTCCAAGACAATAGATTCATCTTGAATACTTGTAAGGACATCAAGGGATTCTCAGGAAAAGTTTGGGAATGAACTTTCTGCAGAGTCATGCCATGGGAAGGGGGGAATCACATTGGGCTCAAAAAACTTGGGACGAAAGTCCCTGTCTCCTCGTGTGTAAAACTGGAAGCAAATAATGGCAAGAGGGAACCGGTGTGGTTGATCTTGACAACTTTTATACAGCAGTGACCTTTAAACGGTCCTGATTCCACACCTTATGTAACTTAAACTATATAAATGACTATATTTTGTTTTAGATTTTAATTTTTACATATTATATGTATGTGGATAGCTATGTGCACATGCCTTTGTGTGCACAGGTGCTTTCCAAGCCCAGACGCCTTGGATCCCCTGGAGCTGAAGTTAACGGCAGCTGTGAGCTGGTCTGACATTGGTGCTGGGACCCAAACATGACTCTGAAGAAGCAGTGCCTGCTCCCAACCACATCTCCAGTCCCAGCTGCTTTTTGTTGTTCTGTTGTTTTGTTTTGAGACAGGGTCTCACTATATAGTCATAGCCTGGAACTCCCTATGTAGACCAGTCTGGCCTCACACAGAAATCTTCCTACTTCTGCCCTCCAAATGCTGAGATTATAGATGTGTGCCACCATCATGCCAGGTGACAACCATAGTTATATGCTACTAATCTTATGATGCATATATAACAACCAGAAAAATGCAAATATGCAGAAATAAAAATTGAACCCCAAAAGATCATCCCATAAAACCCATACCCTGGAGGCCCCGGCCTGACAGAGCATGCACAGGAATTGACATCTTTCCTCGGCCCATACCTCACTGTGCACAGAGACAAGCTGGCAGCAAGTGTCACCAACTGACATTAACTAGTCTCTTTCCTCTTGACCCTCTCCTACAATTCTATGAGCATTGAATCTGAAGCCAGAATCTTAAAAACATATAATCCTACCAGGCATGGTGGTGCACGCCTCTAATTCCAGTACCCAGGAGGCAGAGACAGACAGATCTCTGCGAGTTCGAGGCCAGACTGGTCTACAGAGTAAATTCCAGAACAACCAGAACTACAGAGTGAGACTGTCTGAAAAATATGAATATAGAATCCTAACATTCAGTCAGAACAGATCTTCAAAATGTAGACCTGGCTAACTGAAGGACAGACCTAAGTAGGAACTAGATAACAGTGTAGCTTTCTGGGGCCATGGAGAACTTCAAAAAGCTATGGGTACACAGATAAACATGATCTATAAGGTTTCCAGGGGAGTAGTGTGGCTTCCTGGAGAAGAGAGAGACACCCCTGATGCGAACACCTTGAGCCATTAGCTTAAACACGTAAGTTCACTCATCACTCACTGTGCTCGCCAGAGGCTGGAGGGAGGCTTACCTTCAGTATTTCAGGCTCTTTGATATCCAAGGATCTTGTGTTCCAGTGTTGCAGAGTTTTATGTGATTTGTGGTATTTATGAGCACTTGGTGGTGTAAAAAACCAGATCACGCAAACAGCAGTCATGAACCCAAGGCCAATGCCCAGGAAGAGCCCGCTCACATAGTAGGGGAGGGGGAGGATGAGGTACGCATACACACACATTATAAAGAAGCCCAACGTCTTCACTGGTAACTCCTGGTGCTGGGTGGCTGAGTCAGCTTCGTCCTCGCTGTCCAGAACCAAGCCATCATCGGCAAGCACCTCTGGCTTGAGGGGGACATCTCGGGGCTTATCAAGTCTCCCCTCGCCCTCAGGCTCCAGCTCAAAGTCCTCAGCGTACAGTTCACAGAACTCTTCGTCCTCTTTGCTCACTAAGGCAGACAGAGAACATTTCTCAAGCACGAGAGAACTTGTCTTCAGGCCTAAATCCTTCAGACTGCTCCCCTGGGATCCCTTAGGCTCTTCTTCCTTCCCAGCTTCCTCGGTGGGCTTCGAGGGTTCACTCCTGGGAGTGTTGGAGTCACTGCCGTAGCCGTCCCCCTCGGAGTCACACTCTTCCTCCTTGATGCTGTAGTTGTTATTGCTTTCCAAGTGCCCATTCAAACTGGACAGGTTGGAGAGTTCTGAAGCACTTGAAGATAAGGCTTTGGGCCTGTGGCTGCCACTTTCCTCCCCGATGATTTTGCTGAGGAGCTGGAAGGGCTCATAGATGACTTCGGAAAGGCGTCGTTTAGTGTCTTCGATTTTCGCCTCCATTTCGGGCACTTTAAAAAAGGAGCGGGTGTCAGAGGGCGAAGTCAGTGGGGAAGAAGGCGCAGTCTTGGAGTCTCCACCTGTGTTCCGTGGCTGTGTGAACTGTTTGAACAGGTGCAGATTGAGTTTGGAGTCAGGGGGCTTATAGGACACGGTATCCGACTCCTGACGGGAGGTGTCTGTGGACAGGGACTTGACCAGGGTCTTCATCAGGTGCCTGTGCCGTGGGGGGTGGGGGGACTCTTTTGGCTCCACCTCGGTTGACAGGGACTTCACCAGGCTCATGAAGGGCTTAGCACTGGAAAGCGCGGAGGACGAGGCACTGGATGAAAGGACAGGGGACTTGGAAGGAGAAGACAATGGGGACGAAGAGCTGGTTTTCTGCTCAGAGAGGGATGACACACTGGGAGAGCTAGCTAAGGGCCCAGATGAAGACGACCCTGGGGACAGAGCCAGTGGCACTGTACTTAATACTTGCACTGCCGGAGCAGGGGGCTCCAGCAGCTTTACAGTGTTCTCAGAGATGGGCAAAATGGCAGGGCCCTCAGATACAAACAGTCCATCTGCCGGGATGGTCGCGGCAGCAGGGCCCACAGGGTCATGGCCACCGTGGGGTTCAAGATACAGGTCCTCCTTGGCTTCAAGCCCTGTTACAATGCTTTGGTCATCTAGCCCCTCCTCCAGGTACCCCCTGAACTCCTCCTCCTCTTCCTCCTCTTCCTCCCCGGATGCCGAGAAATGAATGGCGATGGTATCTCGGGACACGGACCTCTGTACGTGCACTTTGGGGGCTGATGGTTTTGGCATGTCAATGGTTTTCTCGGCATGGCGACCATTCAGACTTGTCATTGCCAGCTTCACAAGGGCTCAGGCTCTGAAAACAGCAAGAAAAGCAGAAGTCAGAAGGTGGCTTCTCCACAGGCGACAGGACCGCATGCAGATCCACACCGGATGAAGCTCGGCTTAGAGGTGATTATGCTTTTACATGGCAGATGGCCATAGTTTCTCGCTTTGGAAGGTTTAATGGTTTAATTTTCACTAGATAAATTCCGGCTAGGCATTCTCTTTTATGAGCAAACCACACACCAGCATTATAAATGCCAAACAATCTGTCTCACTCACAACTGCCGAATAACCACTCCCTCCCTCTTAACCGGCTCCTTTCTATCACTGGGTCTCTCCTGCCAAGCTAAAACGAAGCATCCTGCTGGGTTGAAGGCTCTTGGAATAAGAATCTCCCCAGTGGTGTTCCACCTGTGAAAAGCTAACCCAGAGAGTTACTGCTTCCACTGTATTTCACAGCAGCCTCACTAATGGGCCTGTATTTCATAGCACCCACACTGCCTTGCGTTGCACTAAGTGACAAAACATCCAAGAGGAAAAATTAGAAACTAACCGCTGTGACCTGCCGTTCTCACATGCCAGGTGCCACACCGTCAGGGCATTTAGGCAGCTATGATGAGGCCTCGGGTAAAGCAAGCATCTACTCAAATGGAAGAAAGCTGAGTGTCACTGTGGTAGCCTACCAGCAAGCACGAATGCCACTGGGGACGATAGGCAGACACGGGAGTCAGCTCTTTGCCCTTCTGGAGCTTAATAGCTAGGTGGAAAGGAGATGGTCCCTGAAGAGCTGCTCAGCGGAACAGATAATGCCAAGTGCCCCTGTGACATCTAGTTCATGACATCTTACATCACTGGGCTTTTAAGGGGCAGCTGACTATGTGGCTCAGGCTGGCCCCAAACGCATGGTCCTCCTGTTCAGCACCTTAAGTCTTAAAAGTGGGAAACAGTAGTAAGGCCTCACACCTGGTTAATTACAGGCCACTTGCTGGGCACAAGGCACCATGACAGACCTCTACAGCTGGACACAGATACCCCCACAGGAGCTAGGATATGGGACAGACATCAGGAGTTCTGAGGACACAAGGCCAGGGTGAAACATTAGATACCTGTTCTGTCCTCTGAACTGGTGAGCAGCAGTGACAGGATGACCAGTGTGAACATGGTATGACCCTAGGTCTGTTCTCTGTCTGCAGGACAAGAGGAAGTAGTGGGGGGGTGACCCCAGGTACAAGAGAAGCATCATGGCCAAGTGGAAAGGGCACCTATCTGCCTTGCACAGGGCACCAGGCTGCTCATACTTACGCCTTTCCCAGGAGATGCTGAAGTTCCATCAAGCTACAGCCTCTCAGTCTCAGTATTATCTGTAAATGGGGACCTAGGGCATTTTCCAAATGTGAAATCCTATTTGTCTATGCTCACAGGTGACCACATACACAAATAAACAGCCTCGCACAGGCCATCAATACTGAATTGCTTGCTTATGCCTACATTCAAGTTTTCTGCCAAAACCTGCTGTTCAAAGTGCCTGGAGCTGATACTACCAACAGAAGAACAGATGGAACCTGGTGTGGAAATGCTACTCTGAGATCATCAGAGGGAGGGGATTTGCTAACGATGGCAAGAGTACCAGACACAGGGTCCAGATACCACAAGAACACAGTATTTTCACCATCAAATCCCTGGGAGAAATTACTTCCATAAAGTCTTTGCAACAGAGTTTTGTTTACGTTCTTCTGTGACCTGCAGGCTCTCCTATGTGGCTGACTATAGAGAGAGAGAATGCACTCCATCAACCAAACACAGCAATTTACATCCAGCAACGGGCAACAACTTGGCAATTCAGCTTCCAGGACAATTCTTCTCTGGTTTGTTTTGTTTTGTTTGTAGACAGGGTCTTGCTATTGTAGCCTTGGCTAGCCTGGAACTCACAATGTAGACCACACTGGCCTTGAGTTCATAGAAATACATCTACATCTGCCTCCTGAGCACTAGGATTCAAGGCCTAGCTCTTCCCTGCTCTCTTTATGTCAATAAGTCTGTCGGGTTATAAAGAGAACAAGACAAAGAAACAGAAACAATGAGAGGGGCTAGGGATTTAGCTCAGTGTTAGAGTGCTTGTTTAGCAAGTGCAAGGCCCCGGGTTTGGTCCTCAGCTCTGCCTAGCTTTATAAGAATAATTCTTTCTAGATTTCTTTTCATTACACACATGTGTATGGTTATGTGCACACATGGTATGTATATGCTCATGTGGGTGCCCAAGAAAGCCAGAGGCCTCAGAACCACTGAAGTTACAGACACTTGTGAGTTACCTGATGATGTGGACGCTAAGAACTGAGCCGGGGTCCTCTGCAAGAGCAGTCTGTGCTCTAAACCCCTGAGCTGTCTCTCCTGCCCCTCAGAGGTAATTTTAAAGAAAAATTGTAGTGGTGATCTTAAAAGAAAGTCTGGTCCTGGCTAATTCTCAGTAAGTTGTTTTGATAACACCAACATAAACAAGGTTATGCTGTTCTGAGGTGGTTTCATAAGGAACAGTGGCTGCCAAGTGAAGGAGACTATGGGCACAAGTTGAGGACAAAGCATGCAATTTTGAGGCTGAATAGTGTAAGTTGGTCTCCTAGGAAGCAGAACAGAGGTGAAGAGGTCTGGCTGAAGCAGAAGGCCAGACTAGTCAAAATCCAAGGTTAAACCATCAGTGGAATCTGCTACCTCCACAACTAGGCCTCTAGGCCAGACCTTAGGAATAAGGCAGGCACCTGCTCCATTCTGTACAGAGGCTACCAAGAGACAACTTCCAGACAGTCAGGGGCCCATGACCTGCCAATTGAAAAAGATTTCTGATAAGATTATCTCTGATCAACCTGTCCCCAAGTTCCTATCAGTCAAAGCCTGAGTTAAGCCCCACATAGAACTAGATGCCAGACCACCAGATGGAGCAGGCCAGTCTGGCCAAGCCTCAGACCTTTAGAGGCTCATTGTAAACAGTGTCCAGTCCACACTGACTAAACCTAGCTCCAATTCTTAGTCTCACTAATGCAAGCCAGTGGAGGCTGGGACACACTGACACTCTTCAAGCCCGGTTTGTTGTGATGAGTAGATGAACTTGGGCTTCTGCTCAGGGGCAAGTAGAATCAAAGCGCCAGTTTGCCTGGATCAGCCTATGTCTCACTAGAGCCCAGGTCTAAGGTTCCCATTTCCTTAGGCTCACTATGAGACTAGGCGAGCAAAGGTGGCTTCTAAGGAGCCAAATCATTGGTAAATCCATGGTTTGGGTTTCAGACATTTAATAAGGTCTCTTCCAAGCCACCTTTGCCTATCCTCCTTAGAGTGCCTCTAGGGCTAACACAGCTGGCTTCCTACAGCCAGTCTTGCAGGACAGCAAGGTTAAGAGGAAAGTGCACCCAACTGACACTGGGAATATAGTGTGGTCGCCCGAGCACCCATCATTCATGAGAGGGTTAGGTGTGGCCTTCCCAACACTTGGGTCTGGACACCCTTCACACAGTATCGCACAGCAGCAAACAGCTCTTTTGTATTGCTTTGTTCTGACCACAGTAGCTATCCTCTGTGCTCCATCACGATGTTTCCCCATGAGCCAAGAGCTCAGTTCTGAATCAGCAACATGTGACCAGTTGTACTGAGAAATGAAAGGCTTCCTTATCCATCCCACAATCTAGCATCATAAAAAATGCCAAGCCTCGTGCCCTCTACTGCTAAAACTCAATTATATCCAGGCTGGGGGGAGGGGGGACCAAAACAGAAAATCTTCAGCCTCGGGAGCTGAAATGCCAATTTGGATTGCCTTCTCTGCTCGTTTCCTTCCAGAGCCACCAGCAGAATTTAAAGTGTTGGAATCTTGCACTGACCTTTGCATGTAGTGTGAAGTGGGTCTTTAGATCTGAAAACTAGCCTTGTCACCAGGCTCTGTTTAACCAGGTCTGCTGTGATCACAGTGTGCTGGAGACTGTGTCCAGCCAGACCCTAAGGGCCCCGGAGGCTAGGAGGATGGGCAGCTCCTGGCGTTTATGAGGACTGCAGCATTCTCAACCCAGAACCCTGCTGGCAACAATGAATATGATATATATATATATGTATATACACACACATATATATTATATACACATTATATATATATATAATATACACACATTTAGATCCTGTGAGAAGCTGCCACTTCTGCAACTGACCAAGAAATAAGCAGGAAAAAACTTAGGAAAAAGAAACCCTAGAAATGGGCCCTCAAGGAGCTGGAGGGATACTAGGTTAAGAGAACTGATTGCGCTTCCAGGGGATTGGGTTCAATTCCCAGCACCCACATGACAGTTCACAACTGTCTGTAATTCCAGTTCCGGGGGCTCAACACCCATGGCAAAACACCAACACATGTTAAATAAAAATAAATTTTAAAAAAGGAAGGCCCTGGAAGTACTCTCCCTTGCCCGCAAGACATGGGCAACCCTGGCAAATTGGCACTTTCTTCTCTTCTCTTTTTACATTTTATTTATCTGTGTGTGTGTGTGTGTGTGCACATGTGCCACTGTGCACACATGGAGGTCAGAGACAACTTGTCCTCTCTCCTTCTGTCACATTTGTCCTAGCGCAGGAACTCAGGCTGTCTGTCAGGCCCAGCAGTTGTAAAGTAAGGTGTGTGCTACCATTTGAAGCCTTCAAGCTGGTGGTGATTGGCTGCAGGGAGGTATGCAAGGCTGTGGAAATTAGGAGTTCATCGTTCTTCCTTAAGAAATGAAGACACATTTCTTCATTATTAAGGAGGGAACTCAGTGCTGGGGCAGACTCCAAAGGCCCACACGGAGGATCTGAAAACACGTTAGCCTTCTCCATTACTCAGGTTCTTTAGCACTCCATTTGGCATCATCAGAAGATCTACTCAAGAAGATGAAATACAGGGAAAGCACAGGTCAAAAGGAAAAGTCCAGGGAAGAGAGAGAAACAAGCAGAGAAAACACCCAGGTTACTTTGCAGAACCAAAGTTTTCTTCTCAAGGGCAAGCAAGTGGCTCAGAGAGCAAAGACA